GAGAAGGAGGAGAAGAAGAAGGAGAAGGAGAGGAGGAGGAAGAGGCAGAAAAGGAGGAAGGGTAGGAACAAGAAAAAGAGAAAGAGAAGGTAAAAGAAATGAAAGTGGCAGATAAGGAGGAGGAAGAGGAAGTAAAGTACAAGAATACAAAAGAGGAGGAACAAAATGAGGCATAGGAAGAAGATGAATAGAAAGAAAAGAAAGGCAGAAGAGGAGGAGTAGACAGAATAAATGGAGGAAGAGGAGGTAAATGAAGAGACAGAGGAGGGACAGTATGAAAAGAGGAGACAAAAAAAATAGTAGTCAGGAAAAAAGAGGAAGATGTGGAGGTCAAGAAAAAAAAGAAGAGAAGAAAAGGAGCAGGAAAGGATTAAAATCAGGAAAATAAACATAATCAGAATAATTGCCTATCATTAACCCTTTCCATCCAGGTGCCTACACTCAACACCGCTTGTAAAGGTGAGCAGGGATAGGTGTTCCTGTGTACGAAGCTCACCAAGAACAAGCCCCTCTCTGAAGGCCCACTGATTCAATCTTTCTCCCAAGCACATTGCACATTCATGATATGTAGTCGCCATCACCCAACTTTCCCATCACTCAACCCTCGCCCTAACTGCTTTCTGAGATGTTCTCAATTACCCACCCTTGGCCTAATTTTTGTCATGACAAGACGATCGCAATAGCCAGTTGCAAGGGGCTAACCTTCACTATTTAAAACAAAAAATAAAAACTGAATTCTTCTAGCAGAAAAATTCTCATCTGAAAGGAAAACATTCCTACCCATATCTTGGATGCTGCGACCTTGTTAACACATGTCGCGCTGCAGAGTTGTATTCTTCAGCAAAGAATCTGAAAAGTAAAAAGACATAATTAGACACATAGACACACACAGACACACAAAGTTTTATAGATAAATCAACAGTATTATGTATGTGATTAGAATAACAAACAAATAAAAAATTGCTAGAATTGATATGTAAAGGAAAAGTATCTTAACATCTCTTTTGCAGCAGGAGATACTTAAAAAGGAGAAAAAAAAATGATCAATAAGACAAATCAATCAACTTATTTCAAAGAGGAGACATGGGAGGAAAGAAGCTGAAAAGGGAATTAAAAAAAAAGAAAAGAAAGAAAGAAAGAAAGAAAAAAATGTCAGAATTACTTAACTGTCAATAAGCAATCATATTCAAAATGTGTATTTTCTGTGTCTAGCTATAATTACACGACAGCATCATAATGAAGTATGCATTTAGTAAATGTACAAACCATTTCTCTTGTACATACATTATCCACTTGTAATATTCAAACAATAAAGCATGGGTTTCAAGAAAAAAATCTAAACTATGAAGTTTGCTTTACAAAGATATGAAAATACTAATGCATTCTGTCTGAATTAATCTTTTATCCTTGTGACTGTGTTATGATACAAGTCATTTGTAAAAGTTTCCCAGAATAACGAAATGGAGCTTAAAAAGTATCAATAAATAGTATATAAATAAATAATAAATGAAATTATTTATACTTATTAATATTTCATGGTATTGTCTATGCCATTTTGTATGATTAAAGAGACAAATAGGTATAATTTCAACAGGTAACATGGGATATAGTTACACAACTGAAGTATTCTTAACTTGCTCCGTGCTTATTTTCAAAATATTTCTATGAATTTCTGCAACATCTTATGAACAATACAAATACCACTAATTTTTGACAGCAATAAAAACTATGAATAAGTGTACTGTTTGAATTATTTAATATCTTCAGTTAAATTACTGATGTTTTTACATGAAAGAAAAAAAGGAAGACAACTTTGGACAACTCTGTAAACTGAAAAATGGTTTTTAGTATATTTAAGTAAATTCTGCAAGGTTTTTGGATGAATATGAGATATATGGTTATTGCTAACATTTATGCTTCATAACTTGGAACTTATTATCCACTATCTATTCATTAAACCCATGATGACAGCTTTTCCCATGCCAAACCAATCTACACACTGAGCAACTTGTATATTTAATGGCAGTTGGAAACATACAATCATCAGCAAAGACATAGGCAAGGTTGTCTTTTTTAGAACCCTGATGTGACATACACTCATTAAAAAAGAAGTAGTAAATACATATATATTCGCTATTTACTCTAGTTGTTCATCAGGAGGCACTGATGTGACATAAACTCATTAAAAAAGAAGTAGTAAACACACACATACTCGCTATTTACTCTAGTTGTTCATCGGGAGGCACTTCCTCTTAATGCAACTATGGAGTTGAAGGAGAACTGAGATGGGGAGAGTTTGGCGAGAGAGGGAGCAGGTTTGCCCAGATACAGTTGTTAAAAAGGTGTTGTGACCCCATATTCTGAACACCATAAGGACCGAGAGGTTCTTAGAGGCATTTAAATCAGGAATGTGGTCTGGCCAGTCCCTCCTGTAGTCCTGCCAACTAAAACCAGGTATGGATCCATTTAGCTGTGGCAGCCAGCTCGCAATCCTGATGAAAAACCTTACTTTGGTAGGGTGTGTAGTTCTCCTCTGAGAGGCCAGGAAGAAGTTTGTGGCAACACTCCTAAGTAATTTGAGGTACTTAGGTAACAGCACTAACTTCCCAGTAGAAACTTAAAGCTCTCATCACAGTATCTGAGTGTTTTATAATCCCTTGGATGAAGTCAAATGGGCCCTTCCTGGCCTCTTCTATTACTATACTATGCTGTTATCTCCAGTGGTAGAGAGAGAGAGAGAGAAAGAGAGAGAGAAAGAAAGAGAGAAAGAGAGAGAGAGAGAGAGAGAGAGAGAGA